CAGCAAATGCACAAGGTAGCAGTAGCAATTCATCAAATGAAGCTATTAGTGTTCATAGTTCGCCACCTATTACTGTTCATAGTTCTTCATCTGAAAGTCCAACAGAAATACCAGCACCAACTGAAGACAAAGAAGAAGAAGACGGAGAAGAAAAACAAAAATATAATGTTGAAAAATTAAAATCTAAATAATATTATATATAATGGGTTCAAGTAAATCAAAACCAGTAGAAATTGATGATGAAGAGGCTATTAAAGTAATAAAAGATATAGATGTAAATACGATAAGTGAAATGTCAAGAATTGATATTCTACAAATAAATTCATTGAAAGCAATAATAAATAAATTAGAAAAAGTTAATGAATGTAAAAAAGATAAAACATATTATAAATTTCCTGCCTTAAATTTATGTAGCCATTCTTTATTCTAAATTGATAATATTAACATACATTAATATTATTAATTACTATCATAATCTGTCATTTCACTTTCGGGTAATTTTGTTGAGGCGTTGCTACACATATCATCTATTAAATCTTCTTCATCAACAAAATTATTTTGAAATCTTAATAATTCCTCGTCTGTTGGTCGTCTTTTTAACACTTTATAAAGTTTATGTATCCAAGAATTAGTATGAAAATTGTAATTACCTCTACGATAAAATCCACCACATCTACATAGTTTCATTAGCATATATATTAAATTAGAATATCTTTATTCATCATTTGTAATTTGAAATGCCTGTTCAAATCTGATATGAAACATTTTGTTAATGTCTTTAGCATTCATATTCACGTAGAAGAAACTATAAGGTGTGTCATTAACGGCTTGATGATACATATCTAATAATTGCTGTTTATCAACAATGGCGCTATTTTCTTCAATAAAACTCATTAGTTCTGTAATGTTTTTGAGTCTGAAAATGTATAGTGAAGAAGCATTAACACGAATTATATTTGCGATTGATTTATATTTTTGTAAAGAACAAATAACATTGATTGCATCGTGCCTACCTCTTGTAAATAAACCGTGTAATATTTTAGAATATCTTAAAAACTTGGGGTCGTCGCTGAAATCATCAATCACGATTAATATTGAATGTAGTTTCTTTATCTTTTTAGACTTCATATAGTTAATAATTTTCTTCTGTCTTTCAATTACATTTTCTATATCAATTGGATTGTAATTGTCAAAATAAATTTGTTCTTTTTTCATCATCTACATGTAGTTCATCCCTAATATACTTTTTAACTTCTGTAAAGGTTGGATCGTTATGAACACTGGGTGAAAATATATATATTCTTGCAAATGAATTTCTATAAACATTCAATATTAAATTTTGAATAAGGACAGTCTTACCGCCTGTCGAACTCGCAACTATAATACTTCTAAATGGTAATTTTGGCACGTGCTCATATTTAGATTGTTTGAATTCATATTCAGTTATGTTTATTGGCTTTATTATTGGAACATCTGACATAATAAAATAATATTAAAGTTATTTAGAAAATATTTTATATTTATTATTTTATATGAATAGAAGCTATTCAGATTATATTGATATAATAGATGAAGTAGAGAATTTAGAACAAGTTGTTATAACTGATAATAGATGCAAGAAAATATGCTATTTTGTTTTAGAAATAATTAAGTTTGTGATACAATATATCAAAAATAAAAATGTAAATATTAATATAAATGGGAAGAAAGAAAAAGAATAAGACTGAACCAGTTGTTTCTTCAACTGATGAAGAAAAAGAAGTTGTTAAAGAAACATCAGTTATTGAGTTTGCTTGTCCAATGTGTAAAAAGGTGTTAGAAATGAAAAATGAATTAGAAATACAAAAGAAAGGACACTGTAAATGTTCGTGTATTCCAGCCAGTTTCAAAATAAGTAGAAATGATAAGAAAATGAATATTGATAAAACTAAAGACAGTATCAACTTAGAAACAGATGTTCATAATATTGCTATACGCTTTGGGAGGGGGGTTACTCCATCCGATAATGGCGATAAGGAAACTCAGGAAACTATACGCGAAATGATGAAAAAATAATAGTTAAAATTATTTCTATTATTATTTATAATGCAAGATGTTATAAATAATATTATTAAATTCATTGATGTAAAAGAATTGAAATTAAATAATTTTATTGAAGAATATAACGAAAATGATATATTAATTAATTTTGTTAATGACTTTAGAAATAGTAAAATTGATTTTAACATGTTTTATAATTCTATTAATTATGCTGATTTATTTGAACAATCAGATTTAAAATTCTATTGTAAAAGAATATATTCATATACTTTAAGATTTATTGCTAATTATGATAATAAAAATGCTATTCAGTTTTATGAAATTACATTGAGAAAAATGAATAATATTTACAAAAATAGTAACATTAATGTTGTTAATGTGTTTGAATGTATTAAATGTTTAATAATTTATATTACAGATAATATTGAAAAGTTTCATAAATATTCAAAATTTAGAAAAACTATTATTTGTAATTTAATTGGTAAATTGAATAATAATTTAACGAGTTACACAATAACTAATTTTGAATTGACTTATAATGATATATGATTTTGTAAAATAAAAGTTTAGTTTTAAAAGTTTTATTTTATAATATAATATATATATTTACATGGATGAAGGATTAGAAAAGATTGTTAAAAAACTGAACAAGGTTTTAGAACAGAATAAGAATATTTTAGAAATCTTGCAAGAAATGGAAAAGAAGAAACCTTTAACAAACAGTTATCAAAGTAAAGAAGTAGATAGAACCAATGGTGAATATAAAAATAAAAGCAATATTTATTTAAACAAACTTAATAACAAAGAAATTAAAGAACCGAAGGCTTCAACTATGACATTTTATCAAATTGACTATGATGAAGATACGGGGGTTTATTCATAGAGAATATTATCTAAATATCTTTAATAATTGAGTTTGGGGTTTGCTCTTTTGTGTCATCACCCAGAAAACAAAGCAACTTACTGCTGATTTGCGTTTTCTTACCGCTGATTTGCGTTTGCTTACCGCTGAGTTGCGTTTGCTTACCGCTGATTTGCGTTTGCTTACCGCTGATTTGCGTTTGCTTACCGCTGATTTGCGTTTGCTTACCGCTGATTTACTTTACGTGAGGTGATTTAACGCATTGCCATAATGTTTATAATCATACTATAATAATAACATGTAAAATCTTATATGTTATAATTATACTGTACTTATGGTTTGTAAAGATTGAAATATTTTAATTTTCCTTAATTTGCTTGACTCTTTCAAAGTGCGTTGTTTGAACTTAAGTTATAAAATTCTATCTACCTAACCTTGCCCATAATATTTCTAAAAAAAATATGATTAAATATTGTAAGATAATTTATCATAATTTTTGGAATAGTATTTTTGAAAATTTATTTTTTTGCGAATTTATTTATTGAACACTTGTTTTGCTTTTTTAATGAATAAACTTAACCTTGCCCCTATATTTTTGAACATATTTTTATCATACATTTTGGAATAATATTTTTTAGGCATAAAAACTACCTAAAGGAATATGGGCATTAGAATATATGGAGGAAATTGTGAATAAAACATGTTCAAGATGTAATAAAAAGAAAACGGTTGATGAATTCACTGAACCCAGAAAATTATGTAATACTTGTATTGAAGACAAACGAGATTACAATAAATGTAAGAGAGAAGGAATTGAAAGAGAAAAGGAGGTGAAAGAACCTACCATACAATATAGATTAAGAAATTATCACTGTGAGATATGTAATTATGAACTAAGATTGTGTAAAAAAAATCAACACGTGCAGACAGAATATCATAAGGACAGATTAAGGAGAAAGGAGCACCCTGAAGAATTTGAAAATGAAGAAAAGCCACATCATAAAACAATGCTTGACGGTAAGGAGTTTTTTCATTGTAATAAATGCAAATTGTCAGTTATGTCTTCTCAATGGGGTAGGCATTGTTTATCGCTAGACCATTTAGGAAAGAAATTATATAAGGAGCGCCACGCCCAGTAAAACCTTATGATAAAATAGTTTATCATAAGGTTTTATCATAGGTGTTTTTTCATCATTTGGCGGGCGGGGCTCTCTCACGGGCACAAACTATAACCGAGCAAGCCCTACTCTAACTGTAAGTCCCTCTCCGTGGGTTATTGGCATTTTCTAGAGTGGTCCGTTCTATTCAGATACTGGACCAACTCAGACATTGGCATCTGAACAGAATGGGTGAACAGAATGGCAAGGGAGTCAACCCTTAGCCTTAGACTATTCATCGGCTGGGTCAACAGTAGGAACAGAAGAAAGCCCCCTCCCCCTGTACAATTTAGAGCCACACCCATTTTGGGCTTGAATTTTAAAAGGGAACCTCTCAAGAATGGTTGGTGGACATAAGCCCCCCCCCCCATGCAAATCAATGATGCAACCCTGACAAATTTCAGTTTGGCGAGACTAGTGCCTTGTGATGCAGAATGGATAAGGAGCCACTGACTAGAATTTTGAGATACATTTGGGTGCCTCCTGACGTTTTTTTGTTTTTTTTTGTTTCTTTTTCCAAGAGCAACCACCACCAGGATATTTGAGAGACATTAGGACCCGACTACAGGCACCCTGTGGTCGGTGTTTTTTCCTGCCAAGAGCAGCTCGAAGGGAAAGGGGGGTTGCTAGGGATACTGCCTAGGATGGTTTCTTGAAACGCCAAGACTCCCACCCCACCTAGGCAACCGGCTTTTAACTGGAGCTGGGGTCATTGCTTTGACTGGTTATCAAAGTCAGCTGGGGGTGTTTCCCTACCTATCACTCAGGGGTGTCTCTGATAGTAAAATCCTGCCGGAAGGAAGACCCCCGGGGAATGGTGCTTCCCCTGTACATGCCAATAAACCAATTAACCTCATAATTTTTGTGGTTCCCCAGTGGGAACGGACTTCCTCCATCCATCCACAGTACTCAGCGGGTGACAAACCAAGCGCTGGCCGGAGGCGAACCTCCAGCTGGTCGGCTCGGATCTGCTGATCCGCTTGGGGCGGCCTGAGGAGGTGCTACCGCGGCTCCTGGCGGAGGCGTGGCCTGCGGCGTGGGCCTTGGGGGTGGTTTGAATGGACCAATGGGAAAAGTGGTTTGGACCAATTTGGGTGTGAGTTTTTCTGCGGGTGCCCTTTGTTGGTTTAAAGGGACACCAAGACGAACCCCCACCCATTTTGGGGGGTTCAACGCCTTTTTGTTTTGGTCACATACCCATGTGGCGCGAATGCGCCAGGGCTCCGTGCTGGTGACCCAGGAGGAACCCACCTTTGAGGAGCAGGCCACGGACCGTGCCCTCCAAACGGGGCTTGCCGTCGCGGAGAATATGCGGTGGGAGTACGTGTGGGGCGCTACGCTGATCCTCGGCAAATTTCCAGCCGGTTCTTCAGACTTTTGGACCAGAGTTTGGAGGGATTTATGACATATCTTACTGAAAGTTTGGATCACTGTAGCAAGGGATCAACGAAAGACTGAGGATCCATAAGGATGACCTGCCCTTCCAAGCAGACCTCAAGGACTCTTCACTTTTTGCTGATCCAAGACCACATGAACTAGAACGGGGCGGTATGCGTGGGAGGTTGTGCAATCTAGTATTTCATTTCTTTGAAGTTGGTTTTAAAGAGCAAAGAAGACACGTTTTTGCGCTTAATTAGTGTCTTGTTGTATTCTTCCTTTGATTTTTTGCTGAACCGTTAACCCGCCGCCCCATGTGTCTCTCGGCGGGCTGGGGCGGAGGACATGCCAGACGTATTCACGGCTTTCAAGAACCAGGTGGCTCCGGAACTGAAGTGTGCCTGCAACCAGGTGCCTCCGGACTATCGCGATGCCCCCAAAGCAGAGACTGCCTTGAACATTCGCAGGCCGTGTTTTTCTTTTTCTCGGAATGCGGTGGGATTCTCCCCACTTCTGTGATACCAGACCTCTCTGGAGTCATTGGGAAGGCCTCCCAGTACAGAAGTGGAAAGGCAACTCCACCCTGCTCGCCAGTGCTTCATGGGAAAGACGAGGGGTCCCAGGATTAAATGGGAGACGTAGGGAACCTTGCCCTAAACTGTAAGTTATGACTCCGTTTTTTTTTTTTTTGTATGTCCCCCTGCTAAGTTAGGCAATTCATTTTTCCCACAACCTATTCGTACATGGCAGTGTTGTCATTTACCATCGGTTGGAGGACAAATTGAGGACCCCATTAATCAACCCGGTGGATGAATCGGAGGGTCCTACAAACCAACCAGGGCTCTACTGATCCTCGGTTCCCGTTGAAGCAACCCCTTCATTTCGCCGGAACGACCTCGTTCGCAGGTGCCTTGCGCCCTTGGGCTTTGGGTCGCTACCTTTGCCGGCTTTGGACTTCGGCTTTTTGCCGTGCTGGTCGGACCTTTCCTTTGGCGAGAGTGACTCGGCTCTCAATTCCCGAACTTCTGGACTTACTTTTGGGAAGCTTGTTTTGGTGGTGAGCAAGAGGCTTAGACTTGTTTGGACATACTTTTGGGTGGGTCACGTTAGTCGTAATCAACAGTTTACATCTTTGGGATATTTTTTTCGCCGATCCACTCAGGTGAGAGCGAGCCGGAGCTGCCTTTCGGCATCGCGGGCGGGGAATCTGCGGGCCAAAGGAGGCTGGAGGAATTCATGGGATCACCAATGGCCAGGTGCCTGGGCCATAGCTTTCCTCTTTGTATTTCCCGAACTTTCCGTAGCTTTTTGCAGGCGGGTGCAAGTCTGTCCAAAGTTATTTGGTTACTCTATTTAGGAGGTTTTCGTTCAGGTCTTCCTTGTTGCCGGGGTTCCCACTACCCATTGGACTCCACCCAGCAAATCCCCAGAAATCTTCCTTGCCGTGGGTTCCCATCGGTTTGCAACCAGAGGTATGCGGAGTCCAAGAACAACATGTTGGCCCTGGACGCCTCCTCCAAGCTGAGCCCATGGCTGGCCAATGGCAGCCTGTCGCCGCGCCGCGTCTTCGAGGCTTTGCGGCGCCGGGAGGCGGAAATCTCCGCAGACGCGGCCACGTGGCATGGCCGGACTAACCTGGACGTCTCAAGGACCACATTTTGCGTTGGCTCTCAAATTTTCCCTTTAGGCTTTTCCCCTTTGAACCCATTTAGACACGCGCACTTCTTTTGCAGTTTTCGCCTTTCTAGGTTTCCTTCATTTTCGCTTGAAACCAGCAAACAACGCACACTTTGTATCAGGTTCGGGGGGGGGGGGGTTCAGCCTGGCCGAGGTATTGGTTCACCTTTGCCCTGCTGGTGCGAGATTTCTTTCACTTCATGGCGAAGAAACAGGGCAGGCGCATCTTCCTGGAAGGTGGGGTCATTGGGAAGAGGTGGGGGGCTTGAACAAAAGAAGGACACAAACCAGCGTTTGTTTGTTCTTAAAGAACATTGCATGCTTAAAGACAGGGCAAACCAAGCAAGCAAGGAAAGCAACAACAAACCGGGCTTTCTGTATCTATTTTTCTGTGGCGGTGCTTGTTTGCGGGGAACCCAAGTCTTGAGACACAGGTTGGCTTGGAAGGGTGGAGATCGAGAGTTCCAGCTCTGGCAGCAGGGGCAGACTGGGTTTCCTTTGGTGGACGCCAACATGCGAGAAATGGCGACCACTGGGTGGATGTCCAACAGAGGTCGCCAGAGCCTTGGTTGTTGATGCGAGGGACCTTATATATATATATATACACATGTATATTCTTAACTTTCAGCGGAACACGGGATCCAGAACTTTTCTTTCCAGCGTTGAACTGCCAATATTGACCATCTGCAGCAAGGGAAATGACGTCAGCCACACTCACTTAAATGTCCATTTGCGAGCGGGTGCTTCCATGTCAGTGGGGAAATCCCTGTTGAAGCGGTTTCAACATCATTTATTGGGTCCAGGTTGATGGTACTGTTTGAAAGGGTGCAAGGACCCCTGTGTTCTTCACGCAACCGATCTTACCTTTGAACTTAGACAGACAGTTATGGGAACCACTGTGGGCAGGGGGATTCTCAGGATTAGCCGCATTTAATGCCACATGCCTGTGTTTTTCAATAGGACACCACCTCCAAAGTGAAGGGTGGACATGAATCCCCACCTAAGTGGTCCCCAAAGGATCCCTATGAAAACTCACACCCAAACGCCACCTTCCAAGCACTCAGCCGAAAGTTTCTCGATCGACCCAGGAACGTGGCGTCCTTTCTGATTTGGGACCTGCAGGTGGATTGGCGCCGGGGTGCTGACTGGTTCCTCGGTTTCCATTGGATGTATGACATTTTTCGCTGAAGTTGGTTTTGTTTTTGCAAGGGATCAACGGGCCACTAAGTACCCAAAGGAAAAGTTGGATATATATATATATCGATATATATATATATATATTTATACATATATATATATATATACATATATATATATATACATGTATATGTACACATCCTCTATTTAGTGGCTGGACAGTGGTTGTCTACTCCATTCTCGTTTGGTGGTTTGCGGATTCGGCCGCCAGGTTCGAACGATGCCTGCTGGACTACGACGTGGCCTCCAACTGGTGCAACTGGGTTGCAGCCGCTGAGCTGACAGGTGGCCGGGTGAACCGCTTCAACGTGGTGAAGCAGTCCAGGCAACAGGGTCTCTCTCTCTCTCTCTTTTTTTGGGGGGGATACCATTTGGAGTGGTTTTAAAGGGAATCAAAAGGAACCGGCTATTTTGGGGTTCCCCTATTTCAGGACAAACCCAACAGGGCTGGGCTTTTCTTACAACCTGCTGGCTCCCCTTTTAAGGAGTAGGGTTTGGCTGTAGCCATTTCTGCCCAACCCCAGGCAGTACGACCCAGAAGGCGAGTATTTGCGGCGCTGGCTGCCGGAGTTGCGGGAACTTCCTGCGGAGTGGATTCATGAGCCGTGGCGTCGCGAGGGTAGCAAGCTGTCGGCGTACCCACCGCCCTGTGTGCCGCTGGAAGCGCCAAAGGATTCGGAATGGGAACCTGGGATTCAGATCCGTCCTCACGGGTCCTAAAGGCTTGCACCAAAGGACAATCATGTGAGAACCTATTCAAGCCGATCCCCTTTGGGGAAATGTCCCTAGTAATCCACCGGGTTTACTAATATGGAGTTGACATAGTCTCTTGCTTGGTGACATTGCACAGCTCCCTTTTTGCGTTTTGCGGACGTGAGCTCGTCAACTTGACTGAGCGCCCGGAAAACCCTATCGGCAGTTTTTTGTAGGGCTGGATTTTAGTAAGGTCAACATCAATTCTGGGCTTAGCTTGTCGCCCTTAGGCCAACTCGACGTAGGCACAGACTTTCTTTCCACTCTTTGCCGCCAGACCATGGGTTCAAGGTTTTCCTACTTGTTTTAGTTGTTGGACTATGGTAAAGTCCATATCAGGTCTTTACAGCAATTTTGGTGCTAAGTGCCGGAACCTATACATCACCTTTAAAATCATTAGAACAATAACCGTTATCGACCTTTCTATCCTGAATGTCAGGCCTTCATAACTTATTTGGCTTTGACTTTTGATGGGAACCCCTGAAAAGTGGTTGTTGGACGGACATCCCCACCATTAACGTCCACCAAATGGTTCTCTCTCAAAACTCAGACAGATGTAGCACCGTTCTAAGCTTCATAGCCTTCATAACCGGTCCAGGGGATCTGAGTGCCATCACTCATCTCGCAACCCAGGCCCTCGCGCAAGCCAAGAAGCTGAAGAGCCCGGGAGCTCAGTTCACCATTTCAACAGAGACCCCAAAACCCTGTCCAAATTAGAAGGAGGTCGAAACTGCCTGATTTCATGGGGGTTATAGTAAGGGCTTTCTAAACCTTTGAAATCATGTCGGTAGCAAAAGTCAACGGGTTTGGGTTGCTCTCAATGTAGTTTACCGACTTTCAGAATCAGCGGACGCCGGCATGGATCCAAGTGGCGCCATTTGGAGATGTTCCTGGACAGACATGGGGACCCCTTACTGCATGGCATCCATCTGGGTTACACGCCATGGAAACACCGGGCCCCTAATTTTAGCAAGTACCCACATTGTTTGGTACACTGTTGGTTTGCGCACGATCCAAAGGAGAGGGGGGGTCCCAGTTTTGGATATGGGCGCGTAGGAATAGTCATCACCTCTTAGACAGGATTTCATGCCCATGGCCCCCCAGTTTTGGGCCATGGCACACATGGGTATGTCTTTTTTGAGGGTTCCTGCCTTGGGTTGCTTTGAAGGAACCACGCTTCCATGGCACATTTTTGGTCGCTTTCACGCGTCGCGCCCGATCCGAGCGAGTCCCTAGGCCTGAGCCACATCAAAGCCGCGCTCGAGCAAGCCCAGGAGGCTCGCTCCGCTTGCCGTTTCGGGGCCACGTTCGTTTTGGTTCCAAATGACGTTGCCACGAGACGAGGCGTGTGGATATGGCCGTGGGTCAAAACCAGTGGTACCATTTTTGGGGTAGGTGCACCACCCATTTTCTGGGGGCTAACCGGGCTTTTGACCCATGGCCATATGATACCAAAGCAGTCCCCTTTATGATACAGGCACAGATTTCGGGCGATTTGTCACCGTGCAGGCGGTTTGCCAGGGCCTGGGGCTTCTTCGCCCAGGGGTGTGTCGTTTTTTCAGGGAAGCCCACCCTTTGGTTGGTTTTGAAGGGACACCAACCGATACACCAGCCATCAGCAAACCAACCGTTGGTGTCTTAAAGGGAAGCAGACATGATACCTCAACCATAAGGAACCCAGCCATCATGCTGAATTTTGAGCCAACCGTAAGAACACCTTACAGTGGTTTTGAAAGGCACACCAACAGGACAGCAACCATGAGGAAACCAGCCTAACGACCACAAGGAAACCTCATGTTTTGATGCACCAACCGCAATGAATCCAACCATTTTCATTTCAAAGGGACCCCCAATAAAACGAAAACACAACCACAAGGAAACCAAGGGAAGCCGAACTGACTCCAACCATCAGTAAACCAACCCTCCATTTGCTCTTTGCTTATTGCAGGTGGGGGACCCCTTCTCCGTAGGTTCTGTTTTTGGTGGTACCCTTTTAAGCCATGAGACAAGCCCGGCAGGCAGGCCTCAGCCACATGGAGATGAAGCCTGCGCTGGATGCCGGAGACTCGAATGGTTCGGTGGCCTCATGACCAAACCTACAAGGGCAGAAAAAGCGTTTTCCATTGGTTTTGCGGATTGGTTTCTTTGCTTTTCTGTTCTTTTCCTTTGGTTTTATGTGGCTCCTTTTGCCCTAATGACTCCAACATGGTCCGACATAAGGCGTCTAATTCCCGTGGGTGTAATGCAAACACTCTGGGTGGTTGAGGGATAGGAACAGACGCAAAATGGGTTTGGCTGAGTTGTGAGCTACTTACCTGGTCTGAGAGCGAGCGGGGGGGGGGGGTTAGCTACGTGGTTAGCGACCCTTTGGCCAGCCCCCAAATGTCCCTGCAAACGCTTGTAAGTAGGGTTGGCTACGAACTCTTTAGCTGTCCGCAGGCCATCCAAGCAGGCGCATCTCAAGATGTGGAGCATCACTTTGCATAGGTTTAGAGGGGAGCTCGCTAAAGAGACAGATCAGGTGAAGCTGCTTTTTTCATATTGAGAAGCACCGCAGATGTATGATAGCTCCGTTAAAGCTGCCTCCCCGCCCCGCAACCCGTGGCTTCAGCAAGCTCAGAGAGGCATTTCGTTCAGACATGCCCCATTTGGATGTTAATCCTGCTTAGTATGTAGGTTGTACATCGTTGTAAATCGACCAACCCTTGTCCCGCTTGCAACCATGATTCTATCCTACTTTGGTAGTTTGAACATCCAAGCAGCGCAGTGGGGTTTCGAGGCACAGAAGGAAATCAAGAAGCAGGACGAGGACACCCCGTGCTTGCAAGCGGTCGATTGGACATGAACTGGACAGCTCATTGATCGTCATTCAGCATGTGGTTAGTTGTTCACGCCAGGGCGAAACTCAGGAAACCCTTCATTCGTGGTTTTTGATTCGTGGTTTGCGGGTTTGAAGCCCTGGTTCTGAGAGGGCAAATGGCAAACCGCCCCCGAACCACCAAACCACCAATCCAAACCACCAAGTGGGTTTCACTGACCGTGACGGCACAGCGGCCGACTTCACAAATTGGCGGAGTGGTTTCCCGGGTTGGGGTTCTCCTACAAAGGTGTGTGTGGGTTGGGGGGGCAGCTGGGGGGGGGGGCGGAATGGGTTGTAATCCGGACAGTCAAAAGGCCCCGGGCCCCCTTTGCAGATCCCTGAAGTGCCCCAACAGATTCTTTACTTGGCTGGTCTTTGGTGTGACCTTAATTAGCCAGTTGGAACCTTTTCGGAAATAAATATCTAATCCGTTAAAACCTAGGAAAGGGGACCTTTTGCTCCGGAACCTTGGAGCAACCCAGTGCATGGGCGATGATGACAAAGTTGCCCTTCACCCCGTAGGCGATGGAGAAGCTGGAAGAGGCCGTGGACAGCCGCGAGGTACGGAACGACCAGCGTGGTTTCGGATCCGATCAGCGTGGAATTTTGGGGAGATGGTCGAAGGTGGGCGGAGGTCTTACGTTTAAAATACCGAAGACAGGCAAGACTTTAACGGGAATGGTATGGTTTCAATGGGAAGTCTTACTCTGTGGGATTTGTTTCAAGACGCCGCAATGACACCACCCCATTTTGTGGGTTCCCAGAAATTTGAGACAAAGCCTTACACCGAAGATGCCCATGGCTTGTGTGGACCTCTCGGCTTCCATGAGACTGAACTTGTTTGCTTGTGTTTTCCTCTGCCCACCTGAGTACCATTGCCTCGGTTTGCCTTATTTACTGTTTGTTCGAGGTACCCAGTTGGGGTGTGTTTCAAAGGGAAACACACCCTTTGGTAGGTTCCCCTGTTTTGAGACACACCCATATTGTATTTGATTTTTTGACCTCTTGCAAACGGACTCGTCAACGTGTCCGACTTGACCCTTGCAAGTCTTTGTTCTTAGCAGGCGCCCCAGCTTGTGTCACATTCCTTTCTGACCCTTGCCTGTCCGCAGTGTTTTTTTCGGGGCTTCGAAAAGACGATTTTGGACATATCAAACATGAAGACTCATGTTGCCATGGAACAAGGGGTTTTCCATGTGCCTGGTGTAGTGGTTGGGTGGAACACACAGTGACCCGAAATCGGACATCATGACATGTTGCAATGTTTGGCTTTCCAACTTGACGAGTGCTTCCTTTCGGGCGGCGGACATGGGCTGGCTCACGTGTTTCTTGCCAGTACGAGAAACTGCGGTGGGCCATCAAGTGGGCCAAGGCCGGGGCCGTATTCGCGTGTATTCGTGCGTATATGAATGTATATGTATTGATCTGCATGTATATGTATATATGAATATATAGGTATATGTATATATGTATATATGTATATATGCATATATGTATATATGTATATATGTATATATGTATATATGTATATATGTATAGATGTACAGATGTATAGATGTATATATGTATATATGTATATATGTAGATTTGTATATATGTAGATATGTAAAAATGTATGTATGTATAGATGCATATATGTATGTACGTATGTATGTATGTATGTATGTATGTCTGTAATGTAATGTAATGTAATGTAATGTAATGTAATGTAATGTAATGTAATGTAATGTAATGTAATGTAATGTAATGTAATGTAATGTAATGTAATGTAATGTAATGTAATGTAATGCATGTATGTATGTATGTAATGTATGTAATGTATGTATGTATGTATGTATGTATGTATGTAACGTATGTAATGTATGTATTGTATATATGTATGTATGTATGTAATGTAATGTAATGTAATGTAATGTAATGTAATGTAATGCAATGCAATGTAATGTAATGTAATGTAATGTAATGTAATGTAATGTAATGTATGTATGTAATGTATATGTATGTATGTATGTAAGTGTATGTATGTATGTATGTATGTATGTATGTATGTATGTATGTATGTATGTTATGTATGTATGTATGTATGTATGTATGTATGTATGTATGT